GCGCAGGCTAGCGCACTTAGCTTTAAAATTAACGACGTTGAGGCCCCCAGAGGATGGGGGCGCACAACAGCGATCGCGACTTACATTTTCCATTTTTCCTTTCCAGATAAAAGGCCAAATGATCGACTTAAAGCTATCGTGCACCCAACGGGGTGGGGGGATGACTTTAGCAACGTGCCATAAACGGCTTGCGCCTAAAGTGTTTACAATTAAGGTTCTACCGATAAAAGACAGGTCTCTTTGTTTCCAAAGATTTAGAACCGAACTTAGTTTGTCTAATTTGGCCCGCCAATTGTCGTCGTCGACATTGACGAGGCCGTTTGAGAAGTAAACACCAAGCACTCTCATTTTAGTGACCCATTTGAGGCCATAGGGAGATTCAATTCTAGTTCGCCATTTTCCTAACCACATTGCTTCAGATTTGGACGTGTTCAGTTTAGCGCCAGATCCTTGTTCAAATTTTGATACGACTCGGAGAAGTGAAGAAAGAGATCTTTCGGATTTTAAGATGCAAGTAGCATCGTCAGCGTACTGGGATATTTTATATTGAAGGCCCCCTGCTCCGGGGAGCAGGAAACCTTCAATATCTTTACAATTACGGATTTGCGTTGATAATACTTCTGAAACTAGCACATAAAGGAGAGGAGATAATGGGCATCCCTGTCTCACCCCTCTCCGTACTGTGGACAGGGAGCCATTGACAATGATTCTAGAGAATGCTTTAGAATAAAATAGTTCGACCCACCCACAAAAGGAGGGGCCGAAACCAAATTTACGCAATACTCTCATCGTGAATTCGTGGTCAACTCGGTCAAAAGCTTTTTCTTGATCTAAGCAAATGAGAATACCTGGTTCATTTGTTTTGTCAATGATGTCAAGGGTATCACGAAGTAAGGCCAAATTGGGGAAGATAGCGCGGCCGACCACACCGCACGTTTTGTCTGAATGCACGATGGAATTCATGACTTTTTTCAGGGTTCTGTCCTCGTGTACCGGTTCACGAGAGCCAATACAAAAGACCAAACAATACACAATAGCTAAACGATAACTCCTAAACAAAGAAAGAACAATGGTAACTCCCTTGTGAACCGGTACACCAGGACAGAACCTTTTTCAGTCGTTCAGTGATGATTTTAGATATTAACTTGTAGCCAGTGTTTAACCAGGAAATTGGGTGCCAATTTTTTGCGAGGCGTCGATCATCTCTTTTGTGGATTAAACGTAATAGACTTTCGTACTGGCTATCCGCAAGGGAGCCAGCAAGAAAGGCCTTATTCAAAACAGAAAGGAGAGATTCGCTCAAATCGTTCCAAAAATACGAATAAAATTCTATTGGAAGACCATCAGAACCGGGTGACTTGCCGGTCTGAAGGCCTTCCAATGCAGTAACTAATTCATCATTAGAAAAGGGGCCTTCACATAGATTGCGCTCAAAATCAGTCAGTGAAAATTCGAGGTCGTCAATTATTTCAGTTTGAATTTGCATATTGAGAGGATCTTTGGTGAATAAATTCTTATAGAAATTGGTTAAAATGTTTTCAAGATCATTTTGTGAATTTCTGAGAACACCGCTCTCGTCAAAGAAAGATTTAAAACTATTCGTGTGAGCTCGTTTTTTCTCCAGACGGAACAAATAGCGTGTTGGTTTCTCGCCTTCTTCGAACCATTGTGCTCGGGAGCGGACTTTAACTCCTTCGGCTTCTTTGGAGATTAGAGAGGACAATTGGCTTTCCAAATCGCTAATTACACCTGGGTTATTAAGCGATTAGAATGTAAAGCGTTTTTGGCACGGGTTAATTGCTTAGTATTTAGGATTCTTTTTGCATTTGCTGTTCTCTGTTTACGAATACAGTATGAAATACTTGTTTTGCGGATTTCAATGTTTAGAGCATCCCACCATTCGCGAAGGGAGGTGAGTCGGGGATTTTAAGCTTAAAGTTGTTAATCGATTTTGACATAATGTTTTTAAATTCTACATCTGAGAGTAAAGAGCTGTTGAGCTTCCAAATTCCAGGACCGTGATCAGAAGGGTTAGTCGTTAGTTCAATTTTTACAAAGTCATGATCGGATAGTGCGTGAACGCTTGGAAGAGTATTACATTTCGTTGTTGGGGTTAAGCTTTTAGCGATGAGAAAGCGGTCAATTCTAGATGCCTGCGTATGGTCTTTGTTAGACCAGGTGAAAGTTACTTTGCGCGGATTGTTTTTGCGCCAAATATCTGAGAGTAGAAAATCAGCATTAAGAGATCGGAAAATTTTTTGATCCGATTTCGGAAGGACCAAACAATTTAATTTATCAAGAGCATTGTCTACACAGTTAAAGTCTCCCCCGTTCAATAGATCTCCCTGGGGGAGAAAATAATCGTGTAGACGTGAAAGAAAGTTTTGCCGCTCAGAGATAGCATTGAGAGCATATATGTTTACTTCGTTGAAATTATGATTTTTAAAATCAAGGAGCAAGCTTAGTATTCTACCATCAGAATCTGTCAGAAAGCGAATGATTCTGACAGAAAAACTCGGAGAAAATAAAATAGCAACTCCGGCGGATTTGCCTGTCCCGAAGGACCACAGGCATTTGCCGCGCCAAAGAGATTCAAATTTGTCTGCTTGATTTTTACATGAGATGTGTGTTTCTTGTAAACAAGTTAAATCGCACCTTAAGTGATTTAACTCTTGAATAATTTTTCGAGCTTTACCGGAGGATCGGAATCCTCGCATATTTAGAGAAATGATTCTAAGCTTGCTCATTGAATAGAAATAAAGATTTAATATCTGTAGCGCCTTCTCCTAGTGTTAACTCTCTGCCATCATAGCTACTAACTATGCTGCCATCCATCATCATCAGTTTCGGAGCCAGAGTAGTCACGGCGGGAAGATCTATCGCGGTCATCACAGCCGCGATAATAATAACCTCGATCGTCTCTATCTCTCTTCTGTCATCTCTCCGGTCGTCTCTTCGTTCTTCTCGATCGTCTCTCCGGTTGTCTCTTCGTTCTACTCGATCGTTCCTTCGCTTGTCTCTACGTTCTCTAGGTCGCTCCTTTCTACTTTCGTCGCGCTCACTGGTCTTCTGTTGTTCTTGTTTTTTCCGTTGATCTTGTTGTTTCTGTTGTTCTTGTTGTTTCTGTTGTTCTTGTTGTTTCCGCTGTTCTTCTCGTTGTCGTTGCTGTTCTCTCTGTTGTTGTAGTTTTTGCTGTCTTTCTTCTCTTTCTTTGGCGCGCCGGATTTGTTCTTGTTTCTTTTCCTCTTCAGTTTTAGGTGGCGTAGGCGTCGTAAGATCGTTATCGACAATGGCGCTGAAGAGCAGGAATTGAATGACTGTCCGCTAAACAAACGGAACATCTTGGCGGGTCTTTACATTCTTGAGCTCGATGCCCGGGGGCATTCGTAATTCAAACAACGGACTGCAGAGCAGTCTTTAACCACGTGGTCAGTAGCTCCACAATTTCGGCAAGTTTTTGGCGCCGTTTGAGCCGTTCTTACTCCATTCTAGATATGTTGTGCGATTTTGTCACGCAGAAAGGAAAGGACACGGCCGTAATGGCTAAGTCGGCCAATCACGGCAGTGTCAGGTAGTTCGGCGGGGTCTTCATGGATCTTAACGAGGACCAAACGACTTTCGCAGTCGCCCAAGAACACCTCAAGACCGGCAAATTATTACAAAAGGTGTTTCAAGAGCGGCTTCTTTAGCTGGACGGCTCTTGAAAGTCACAACCCAAGATTTATTAGACGCCTTTCTCTGGATTGCAGTGATAGTGTCGATATCGATTTCTGCTGCGTCGAAGCCTTCGAGAATTAATTGCAATGTTACAATCGTATCGACGTTAAAATAAATGGAGCGATCCTTCGTGATTTTACTTTGACTAGGAGCATTCAAAAAAGGCACGGCCTTAAATTTCACACCCTTATTCTGCAAATTTTTCATTACCTCAGGGATTTCGATTTCCACGTCTGCATTCCAAGACTGTGAACCTCCTTCTATTGCGCTTGCGTCTACAACGTCTCCTGGATTCGCTGTCGAGTTGTCGGTAGTAAACTGGCTGATATTTTCTTTTTCCTGGCTGTCCATGTTGACCAGTTGCTGCAAAAGCAAGAAAAATAAACTTTTCATAAGCCTTTTAACCTTACCCAAGAAGCTGAGAAGCTTTTTTACTGTTTCGGCCTTCTGGGCCTCATCAGTACATTGCTGCTGCTTGGATGGGGGAGAACCGGGAGGGTCACTCCAAACGAGTCAACATTCGTGGTATCGTCTAAGGCCGTGCCAGAGTGCTCAAACTAGAATAAACTAGTGAGCATGCATCCTAGGTAGAGTGCTCAATTTGGACATGAAAGCAAAGCTTTGTATGCCGAAGAGCTATATCTAACTGCAGACAGAACCTTTTCGGCCTTCTGGGCATCATCAGTGCAGTGCTGATGCTAGGATGGGGGAGAACCAGTGTGGTCACCCCACACGATCCCACATTTGTGATAATTACTGATCCCCATGAAATTCTATTGTTCTCTCTCTGCATTAAATCAACGATTGTGGTCTTTAAGATGACAAAACAACTGTATGAGGAAAACGTAGGCGGTCCTTTTTGTTAGCAGGGAAATTATCAGGGGTAATATAATTAAACGCGCTAAATAAGCATGCTGCAATATTAAAAATATTGCAGTGTGCAGGTTACAATTATTAAAAATATTGCAGCTTGTTTTAGGAAATTTAATGTATAAAGCGCACCAAAACTGATAGCTTATCACATTGTCAACATTACCGTTTGCGTTTTAACTCTCGTTCATTGCAACTTAATTTTTTGTTTCGAAGCGCCACTTTAATCAACTAAAACTTTCAAACACTGAAAAGAAATACAATCAAGGAGACTGATAGTATGGAGCACAATCTATTGCATTAATAAGTATTATATTCATCAGTTTATTTTTTGGAAATAACAATTCTAGTGGAATTACTGTTAACAACTACTGACTGATTACTACCCGCTTGATGACATTTTTCCGGGCTTACTACTTTAACCTCTCGTGAAGTATAATCTCCCCAGTACCGCTTTCGTCCTTTTTCTCTACATCAATTACAGCCTTTTTTGAAAGAGAACCCTGCAAAATTTTGCTTGCTTCCCTTTTGAGAGCTGATGAGGTACATTTATATGCCCTGACTCCATCGGAAGAAGGATGACCGGTCGTTTCTTGGATAAGTTGTTCTGAAACACCACCATCATACAACCGTGTAGCACAAGAACGCCTGAGGGAGTGATTAGTGTACTGCCCATCGAACTGCGCTTTTTTCATAATTTCCTTTACAACCATTCCTAAAGTTTCTCTCCCTGCTGCCTTTTTGTAGTACCATATTTCCCCATTTGGCTTTGTCAAAGCGCGCAAATAAAATGCGTTGTCGCTGACTTTATTTGGCACGTGAGACAAGTATTTTTTATACAGCTCAGCCGGGTATCGCTCAACATTTGTCAAATTCTTATATGCAGGAACAACTTTCCTTTTGATACACAAATGGCTCAATCCCCCGCTATTTGTCTTACTGATATCCTTGGTATACTGCAAAAATTCACGCCCCAATTCGTCACACTGTAGAGACAACTGTGAATTTCTTAGTCTCAAGTTTCTGTGTTCTTACCCAGTCCTCAGAGCAAACTGAACGCCTAAAACGCAAACCAACGTATCACAAAGTAATTCTGCATTTTCGCTACCTAGAAAACCATGTTGCCACAAATAGTTTTCTTGTTCGTGTGTTATCAAATTTGCCTTGTTAACGTCTACTCCTATGCCTTGCCGTGCTCTTTCTTTCAGTACGAAGTTTACAGCAGAATTCAGATTTCTAAATGTACAACCTTTCTTGTCGATCCAAGTTATATTTCGCTTACGTTGCACACGTAAATACATTTGAATGCTGCTCAAAATTTCATATAGAGTCTTTCCAGGATACTCTTGGCCATCTTCCTTTCTCACTTCTGCAACAAAACGATCCAATGTAAAGTCCAACATCTCGTCTATATCTTGTTGAATTACCGCCTCGCCACAGTAATTTGTTTCAAAACCGCTTCATTTCTCTGCTTCTTCCACTCCATAAAGACTTTCAAAACCCACGCCCATTTCCGGCGGCTGGCGTCTGAAACCCAACTTTTGTCAAATTTTTCGCATTCTGAAGCTGTAATTGGCGTTCTTAATCTTTGCTCTATTTAAAAAAAGGAAATGGAAACGCCGCCTTTAGAAGTCGATAAAGAATTAAAGCACTGACAGAAATGTCCAAACGTTGCACTACATTACCTTCGATTTCTGCGGAAATATCTGCCTTCGTAGAGCTCTGTGTAATAAATAGTCCTTCGTCTTCCGACGAATCCATCTTCTTTCTAAACCCAGGTTCGCACTGCGTAAAATGACTGAATTATCTGGTTTATAAAGTATGCAAATTAGCAGTGTTACACGCCTTGCACGAATTAATTCCATCATTAGAACTGTTTTGAACAACTATAACAACGAACTACACTATTCATGTCAGCTCGTTTTTTCTCCAGACGGAAGAAATAGCGTGTTGGTTTCTCGCCTTCTTCGAACCATTGTGCTCGGGAGCGGACTTTAGCTCCTTCGGCTTCTTTCGAGATTAGAGAGGACAATTGGCTTTCCAAATCGCTAATTACACCTGGGTTATTTAAGCGATTAGAATGTAAAGCGTTTTTAGCATGGGTTAATTGCTTAGTAATTAGGATTCTTTTGGCATTTGCTGTTCTCTGTTTACGGATACAGTATGAAATACTTGTTTTGCGGATTTCAATTTTTAGAGCATCCCACCATTCGCGAAGGGAGGCGAATTCGGGGATTTTAAGCTTAAAGTTGTTAATCGATTTTGACATAATGTTTTTAAATTCTACATCTGAGAGTAAAGAGCTGTTGAACTTCCAAATTCCAGGACCGTGATTAGAAGGGTTAGTCGTTAGTTCAATTTTTACAAAGTCATGATCGGATAGTGCGTGAACGCTTGGAAGAGTATTACATTTCGTTGTTGGGGTTAAGCTTTTAGCGATGAGAAAGCGGTCAATTCTAGATGCCTGCGTATGGTCTTTGTTAGACCAGGTGAAAGTTACTTTGCGCGGATTGTTTTTGCGCCAAATATCTGAGAGTAGAAAATCAGCATTAAGAGATCGGAAAATTTTTTGATCCGATTTCGGAAGGACCAAACAATTTAATTTATCAAGAGCATTGTCTACACAGTTAAAGTCTCCCCCGTTCAATAGATCTCCCTGGGGGAGAAAATAATCGTGTAGACGTGAAAGAAAGTTTTGCCGCTCAGAGATAGCATTGAGAGCATATATGTTTACTTCGTTGAAATTATGATTTTTAAAATCAAGGAGCAAGCTTAGTATTCTAACATCAGAATCTGTCAGAAAGCGAATGATTCTGACAGAAAAACTCGGAGAAAATAAAATAGCAACTCCGGCGGATTTGCCTGTCCCGAAGGACCACAGGCATTTGCCGCGCCAAAGAGATTCAAATTTGTCTGCTTGATTTTTACATGAGATGTGTGTTTCTTGTAAACAAGTTAAATCGCACCTTAAGTGATTTAACTCTTGAATAATTTTTCGAGCTTTACCGGAGGATCGGAATCCTCGCATATTTAGAGAAATGATTCTAAGCTTGCTCATTGAATAGAAATAAAGATTTAATATCTGTAGCGCCTTCTCCTAGTGTTAACTCTCTGCCATCATAGTTAGTAGAGGGGATGGTTATGAAACCCGGTAAACATCACAGGGTTAAACAAGAGCGCGGTCGGTGATGTTGAACAGACCCGTTACGTGACTCTGACCGTGCACAAGTTCATTCAAGATGGCGGACGGTGTAGACGATCTGTTTGCGTGGTGAGAAGATTTTGAGGCGATCTTGGGTATTTTGGAAGACGATGACGAAGTAGAGGAACAATTTTCCGTCGCAGTTAGAAATGTAAGTTTAAAACGTTGCAATTTCGAGTTGTAATTTTTCACCACTGAGTTTAAATTTGCCACAGATGGGCTACTCGACGCCTGTACAAACGAAATTTAACAAACGCTCGCGTATAAACCATGCTTATATATTGCCGTTTCTTCAAAGGCAATCTTCCCTAGGGCTCCTGCGAAACAAGGAAGACTTATAAAAAGCTTCTAAAGAGCTCAAATCTCCAGAATGTAGTGATTTGTCGAAATTATTTTAAGTGGTAAACCTTGTAATCGATAGAGTTTCGCGACTTTACGATACTCTCTTGATCGAAAAAAGTGGCCACCGAGTTTTCATTTTTAAACTCTTAAGTGGTTTATTTATTTTACAATGGTGATGTTTGTAATATCTTTGTAGGCTCAGCGTCAAGAAATTTTTTGTCATGACTGCGGAAAGAAATACAAAATAAGAGGTTATGACAGACACGGGGCTGCAAAACACAACAATCAACAAGAAGGATTGGAACAGGTGCAACAGTTGAGCCCAAGCGTTCTTGTAGAAATAATTGACCGTGCTGTCCGCAATGTTAAGGAAAGGAAAGTTTTTGCAGAAAATTTAAGGATGGAGCTCAGGAATTACTCATACCAACAGCTACAAGAAGACAGCAAAGAATTCTCTGCTATAAAAGGAATCTATGAAGGATATAAAAGAAATGAAGATGCAGAAAAGTTTATGGCAAATATTATGCAACAGTTGCTGTAAAGTCAACCCAATTCTTCAGTGGACTTTCTTGGAATGCAGCAACACTACTTGCAACCAAAGTTGCTGACTGTTTGCTGGCATACTCTAAGCAACAAAAACACTCTACTGAAAGCAGTCATAATATAAAAACTGTGTTGTCAGTCAATTAAGTCAATTCATCATTGAGGAGATTAATCACATAGCATAAGAGTACATTTTGTATTATAGATACAATTATCTCATATCAATTGATGAAGATTTTTAGTGCATGTTCACATAACAATGACAGAAAGGGTATAAAAATTTGATTATAATGGGAACATATAAAACAAGAAATATAATTTATTAAAGATCCATTCCCAAGTTCTTATAATCTATATCACTGGTAACTTGAATGAATTTCATTGTTTTACCAAACCTGAATCAAAGTTTAAAAAAATTCAGAGCTAACATTACATTTATTGTCCTCACTGCAAATGGTGGTGCTGATCATAAGGTACTAATTAAGAAATCAAAAAATAATGTGAATTATCAGTCCTATTCCTGCCTTTGTTGGTCATCACCTTGACAACTTTCAATAATTTCCTTGCGTAAAGCCCTTGCTTTGGTTTGGGTTGCCTTGATCTTGTAATGCTGAATGACATCCTTGGCAAAAGAGAATGAGTGTACATGTACATACACACTAACAATCCCACGAAAGACATCCTTACAAACATGACTGTCGGGCTCAAGTTCTGCATCTGATATCATCAAATTGTAGTTAGCAAGGATGTCACTATCACTGGTTGCTTTGTTAGTGATGCTGGAAATATCCAATCTTTGCAAATCAGGCTTTGATGTGAATAGCCTAAAATGACATTCTGTTCTTACTGAAAAAAATATTTGCTGTGCAGGCTGAGTGATTGACCAAAGTCCCCCACGATTCAAAGCTGGCACAAGTTTCTGGCTAGAGTCAGTTATGCTCTCCAGTTTCCCAGCTTTCAGTACTGCCATAGCTTGTTGGCTCTCCACTGAGTTAGTTTGTCCATGTTTTTTGAGTAAGTTGTGGAGAACATAACCGCCAAGATATTACATCCCAGCTTTCTCCTTAACTACAGTTTCAGTTTTTTTCTACGTGGTAACCTAACATCAGTAACTTGTTCCCAGGCTCGTGTCTTGTCCTTTCGGCCCCTTGTGTTGCCACCCTGACAGGACACTGTTCTCTGCATTCTTAGTGTGTTACTGTTATACCCAAATGTTTTTATATCAGGGTTGTCACCGCATCTACCCAGTTTCCACTGGCCCCCAAAGTACTCCTCTACTGGATCCTGGCAGAACCATTCTGTGAGGACAAATTCAAACCCTTCCTGGAGCAAAAATTTTGTCACCTCGACAGCAGAATGTAGAGATATGCAGAAGCCCTCATATGTCTGCCATGAGAGAAACATTTGGTTTCTGGCATTCTGGGTGAAGTTACCCGGTCTGTTGTCAACATTCTCTTTCCAAGTCCTCAGATAGTCTAGGAACTCCATCAACCATGCAAATCTAGCAAATAAAAGAAAAGTCATTAATTACTGTTTCTTGACATGAATAAGGCAATTAATAAAGTAAAAGATACCTCCACATAATAAGTACTCCNGACCAAACGACTTTCGCAGTCGCCCAAGAACACCTCAAGACCGGCAAATTATTACAAAAGGTGTTTCAAGAGCGGCTTCTTTAGCTGTACGGCTCTTGAAAGTCACAACCCAAGATTTATTAGACGCCTTTCTCTGGATTTCAGTGATAGTGTCGATATCGATTTCTGCTGCGTCGAAGCCTTCGAGAATTAATTGCAATGTTACAATCGTATCGACGTTAAAATAAATGGAGCGATCCTTCGTGATTTTGCTTTTACTGGGAGTATTCAAAAAAGGCACGGCTTTAAATTTCACACCCTTATTCTGCAAATTTTTCATTACCTCAGGGATTTCGATTTCCACGTCTGCATTCCAAGACTGTGAACCTCCTTCTATTGCGCTTGCGTCTACAACGTCTCCTGGATTCGCTGTCGAGTTGTCGGTAGTAAACTGGCTGATATTTTCTTTTTCCTGGCTGTCCATGTTGACCAGTTGCTGCAAAAGCAAGAAAAATAAACTTTTCATAAGCCTTTTAACCTTACCCAAGAAGCTGAGAAGCTTTTTTACTGTTTCGGCCTTCTGGGCCTCATCAGTACATTGCTGCTGCTTGGATGGGGGAGAACCGGGAGGGTCACTCCAAACGAGTCAACATTCGTGGTATCGTCTAAGGCCGTGCCAGAGTGCTCAAACTAGAATAAACTAGTGAGCATGCATCCTAGGTAGAGTGCTCAATTTGGACATGAAAGCAAAGCTTTGTATGCCGAAGAGCTATATCTAACTGCAGACAGAACCTTTTCGGCCTTCTGGGCATCATCAGTGCAGTGCTGATGCTAGGATGGGGGAGAACCAGTGTGGTCACCCCACACGATCCCACATTTGTGATAATTACTGATCCCCATGAAATTCTATTGTTCTCTCTCTGCATTAAATCAACGATTGTGGTCTTTAAGATGACAAAACAACTGTATGAGGAAAACGTAGGCGGTCCTTTTTGTTAGCAGGGAAATTATCAGGGGTAATATAATTAAACGCGCTAAATAAGCATGCTGCAATATTAAAAATATTGCAGTGTGCAGGTTACAATTATTAAAAATATTGCAGCTTGTTTTAGGAAATTTAATGTATAAAGCGCACCAAAACTGATAGCTTATCACATTGTCAACATTACCGTTTGCGTTTTAACTCTCGTTCATTGCAACTTAATTTTTTGTTTCGAAGCGCCACTTTAATCAACTAAAACTTTCAAACACTGAAAAGAAATACAATCAAGGAGACTGATAGTATGGAGCACAATCTATTGCATTAATAAGTATTATATTCATCAGTTTATTTTTTGGAAATAACAATTCTAGTGGAATTACTGTTAACAACTACTGACTGATTACTACCCGCTTGATGACATTTTTCCGGGCTTACTACTTTAACCTCTCGTGAAGTATAATCTCCCCAGTACCGCTTTCGTCCTTTTTCTCTACATCAATTACAGCCTTTTTTGAAAGAGAACCCTGCAAAATTTTGCTTGCTTCCCTTTTGAGAGCTGATGAGGTACATTTATATGCCCTGACTCCATCGGAAGAAGGATGACCGGTCGTTTCTTGGATAAGTTGTTCTGAAACACCACCATCATACAACCGTGTAGCACAAGAACGCCTGAGGGAGTGATTAGTGTACTGCCCATCGAACTGCGCTTTTTTCATAATTTCCTTTACAACCATTCCTAAAGTTTCTCTCCCTGCTGCCTTTTTGTAGTACCATATTTCCCCATTTGGCTTTGTCAAAGCGCGCAAATAAAATGCGTTGTCGCTGACTTTATTTGGCACGTGAGACAAGTATTTTTTATACAGCTCAGCCGGGTATCGCTCAACATTTGTCAAATTCTTATATGCAGGAACAACTTTCCTTTTGATACACAAATGGCTCAATCCCCCGCTATTTGTCTTACTGATATCCTCGGTATACTGCAAAAATTCACGCCCCAATTCGTCACACTGTAGAGACAACTGTGAATTTCTTAGTCTCAAGTTTCTGTGTTCTTACCCAGTCCTCAGAGCAAACTGAACGCCTAAAACGCAAACCAACGTATCACAAAGTAATTCTGCATTTTCGCTACCTAGAAAACCATGTTGCCACAAATAGTTTTCTTGTTCGTGTGTTATCAAATTTGCCTTGTTAACGTCTACTCCTATGCCTTGCCGTGCTCTTTCTTTCAGTACGAAGTTTACAGCAGAATTCAGATTTCTAAATGTACAACCTTTCTTGTCGATCCAAGTTATATTTCGCTTACGTTGCACACGTAAATACATTTGAATGCTGCTCAAAATTTCATATAGAGTCTTTCCAGGATACTCTTGGCCATCTTCCTTTCTCACTTCTGCAACAAAACGATCCAATGTAAAGTCCAACATCTCGTCTATATCTTGTTGAATTACCGCCTCGCCACAGTAATTTGTTTCAAAACCGCTTCATTTCTCTGCTTCTTCCACTCCATAAAGACTTTCAAAACCCACGCCCATTTCCGGCGGCTGGCGTCTGAAACCCAACTTTTGTCAAATTTTTCGCATTCTGAAGCTGTAATTGGCGTTCTTAATCTTTGCTCTATTTAAAAAAAGGAAATGGAAACGCCGCCTTTAGAAGTCGATAAAGAATTAAAGCACTGACAGAAATGTCCAAACGTTGCACTACATTACCTTCGATTTCTGCGGAAATATCTGCCTTCGTAGAGCTCTGTGTAATAAATAGTCCTTCGTCTTCCGACGAATCCATCTTCTTTCTAAACCCAGGTTCGCACTGCGTAAAATGACTGAATTATCTGGTTTATAAAGTATGCAAATTAGCAGTGTTACACGCCTTGCACGAATTAATTCCATCATTAGAACTGTTTTGAACAACTATAACAACGAACTACAATAACAACCCTCGGGACAATTAAAATCTAAGATATATTCATCACAACAAAGAACAATAGCAATGAGCATCACAATTATCACACATAGGTGCGACTAAAATCGAAGATCCAACACAGACACAGAACAATAGGATTTCATGGGGATCAATAATTATAATAGATAATTACTTCGGCACATGGCATTATGAGAAATATTGCAGCCAGCTGAGGCCCATCCGG